CAGAGCTGTGTATACTCTACCCTGTATAGTCAGAGCTGTGTATACTCTACTATACAGGGTAGTATACACAGCTCTGCTACCCTGTATAGTCAGAGTGTGTATACTCTACCCTGTATAGTCAGAGCTGTGTATACTCTACCCTGTATAGTCAGAGTTGTGTATACTCTACCCTGTACACTCAGCCATGTGCACTCAGCAGTTATTCATGGTGCTTGTGAGAGCTAGTTAAACCTTCTAGAATCCTGCATCGCCTGATGGCATCTGATCGCATTTTCTAAGCACCGTTTGACTTTTAGTTTCGTACAACTTTTAATGGCTAGCACATTAAATCATTCTTAAAACCCGAACATTCGGCGAAATATTTGAAAATATGCACGAAAAAAAACACGTAAAATTCAAAATTCATGAATAGTTATAAGCGCAGAGAGACATTTTAATCCATTCTGCCAAATTCCAGCCGAACGATTTTGCATGTACATTTCGCGAAGAAATCCTATACAAACATTAAACTTTTATACAGAAATGACGCCGCCCTCTCCCTCCCTCTCTCGCTCGCTCGCTCGCTCACTCAGGCGTTCGAGTTGCATCGAGAATGCGACCGACTGCACACACGCTGCGGCAGCTGTGTGACTTGGTAATATGGTGACAAGCATCCATATCCGTCACAGCAGGTGTGTCAAGATACTATGGTAACACACGCACCCATACTTGTCACAATCAGCTCATGTGACAAGCATGGGTGCGTGTGTCACCATGCCATCGTGTCATACATCAGCTCCGTGTGACACCCGTGTGTCGCCATGTCATGACAAGCATGGGTGACAGGAGCTGATGTGTGACACGATGACATGGTGACACACGCACCCATGCTTGCCACAGGAGCTGATGTGTGACACGATGACATGGCGACACACACACCCATGCTTGTCACAGGAGCTGATGTGTGACACGTTGTAACATGGTGACACACACACCCATGCTTGTCACAGGAGCTGATGTGTGACACGATGACATGGTGACACACGCACCCATGCTTGTCACAGGAGCTGATGTGTGACACGATGACACGGTGACACACACACCCATGCTTGTCACAGGAGCTGATGTGTGACACCATGACATGGTGACACACACCCACGCCCGTTGCCAGCATTGACATTGCGATCACATAGATTCGATCTCTCGTTGATTACTCGGTGCGGGCCACTCTCCTGCCTAGCACGATCAGCCGTCAGTGACTGCACACTAAGCCCCCCTAGATCCGCCCCTCTCTCTCTCTCTCTCTCTCTCTCTCTCTCTCTTTCACTTCCCCACTCTGTTGCTACGGTGATCGCAACTTAACCTTACTAAGAACCCTGTAGACATCCGGGGAGCTCGTGCATACACCGCGCATGCGCAACACAAGGTGGCGGGGAGTCATCTGAGGAGAACGTCACGGCTACCTCGGATTGTGCGGTCACGTGGAGCCGACGTTGTCGCGTTGCCTGGAGCGACGGACAGGCAAGCCTACTCACCACCACTGTGTCAACTCCACCCCTGCACTGGGCGTACGAGGGTAAACGTGTTCAGTCACCCGTTTGTGCGTGGAGCTGCTATTGTTGCTAGCAGCGACCGTGGCGCGCACATTGCAGCATCCCGCCTTGTAACATTGACTATCCGTATACCTGCCTACCTACGGACAGCAACATGGTGATTGCTGTAACTGTTGTTTAGGTAGGTTGTGAGAGTCGTCCCAGCTTTTAGCTGCACCAGCCGACGAGACGATAACCACCCGCCATTGTTTTGCAACGCCGACGACAACACACATATCTGTACGTCGCCGGGGAGGCAGCAGCGCCACATAGCGGGCCACCATCGTTCTACAATGCCGACGACATTACGAATATCTGCACGTCGCCAGGAAACGGCGGCGCCCGTTCCCTGCATCAGTGTTTAGCGTCACGATAAGCGTTGCGTCAGACGCAGTTGTCGACGAGAAGGTGTGCGGGGCTGTCGACGTGTTGGTGATGATGATGGTGGTTGACGTCGTCGTCGTCGTACTGGTGAGACCCAAGCTTGTCGACGACGACGACGCGCGTGTCGCCCGTGCTGTGGTAATGTATGACGGTGTCGGCACGCAGACAGCTCCCCGCGTCGGCACTCGGTCGCTTAACCGACGACACGGCAACGCCACCGTACGTGTCGTCGTACAGTTCCCGTCGCAGTCGCTCGTGCATCGTCCGACAACGCAAGCAGAGGAGCTCCCGGAAGGGATGCCGGAAGTCGCGATTGAAGGTCGCGTAGATGATCGGGTTGCAGAGGCTATTGCAGTAGCCGAGCCAGAGGAAGAAGCTGTAGACGGGAGGCGGGATGTTGCAGCGGTCTCCGCACACGGGCCCCATGACGGCGAGGATGAAAAACGGAAGCCAGCAGAAGATGAATGTTCCCATGATGATGCCGAGAGTTTTCGCAGCTTTGCGTTCCTTCGTTAGACTCGTGTCGCTGTCCTTACGATCCTGAGGTTCCCGCTGATGATACAGCTTCAAGCGATCGCGTATCATAGGTCCGAACTTCGTCAGACTGTTCCGGAACATGCTGGGATGGTGCTGCGAGGTATCGTCATCACCCACCGTCGTCGTCGTCGTCGTCGTCGTCGTCGCCGCTACGCCGTTCCATCGCTCTCGTTGCATCGACTGTCGTTTATACATCGTCATCGTTCGCTGAGAGCGAGCTTCTTTCTCTGCGATCTCCTTCGCCGCGTGGTAGATCTTATAGTATACGAACACCATGACGGCACAGGGGAGGTAGAACGCCCCCACCGTCGCGTACAGCTGATACCAGATGTTCGGACTGACAACGCATTGTCCTGGAGGCTGCGGCTCTTTCCAACCGAACAGCGGCGGGATGCTTATAAGAGCCGACACGGCCCAGACGAGAACGATGGTGGCGACCATACGACGCGGCGTGCGTTTCAGCGCGTATTGAAGCGGCTTCGTGATCGCGAAGTACCGGTCGACGCTGATCATACATAAGTTGAGAATCGACGACGTACACAGTAACACGTCGCTGGACGTCCACACGTCACACATGACGTCACCGAGCACCCATCCACCGGTTACCTCGTAGATGAGAGAGAACGGCATGACGAGCAGCGCCACGCTGAGGTCGGCAACGGCTAGCGACACGATCAGGTAGTTCGACGGAGTTCGCAGCTTCTGAACGAGAAGCACGGCGAGGATGACTAGCACGTTGCCGAGAATCGTGAGCAGGATGAGGACGCTGAGCATCACCGAGATCACCACGCTTGCCCATAGCTCGTAGGGGGGCGACGCTGCCGCTGCCGCCGCCGTGGTTCCGTTACCTGAAGAGCTTGCGTCGGTGACGAGGATGACGGTAACGGTGACGGTGGGCGGGGGTGGGGAGTTGGTGCGGGACATGCCTTACTAGCGCTCACACACAAAGGCTGTGCTGAACACACAGACGCGCTGTCGCGCTACATGGTCCCAGAGTCCGTGTCACGTGTGTGTGTGTCTATTCAACCGACAACAGTTTCACTCCGATGACGTCGCCCCGTGTAGTGCGCCGACAACATCGCTCTTTGACAACAGCTCCTGCGAATGCAACGATAATATAGTTAGTTAGTTAGTCAGCTATTCCACGTAGGTGCCTAGATGGCACATAGGGCCTACGGCAGTGACAAGATACAATGATACATGATATAGTATATGACGTGTGATGTATGTATAGTTTATTATTTGCTACTCAATCTGTGACATGCTTGCAGCGGTCATGAATCTTCAGCAGACAATGAGTACGGCTGAAAATCGCGAAGAAAATTATTATTGAAATTGTGGGAAATTTGGAACTAGTCAGATCCTGACAACAACGAATGCACAGCGTTGAACGTGTGGGGTAGAGTTTACGTAGGTTTATGCTCATACCATTCTGCAATGTTGCTCCTGGCAATAATATTAGATAATAGCTTATATAATGCAACCTAACAAACGCACCAGTACACACGTGCGTGCCTGTGTGCGCGCGTGTGAGCGCATGTGTGCACGCGCATGACTCTGTGTGGGCGCATGTGTGCGTGCGTGCATGCATCTCATCTCTCATGTTTGTTCACTTGCGCACATTTACATTTCGCATCTCCGCCATCTTCCTTCGTCCCTTCTACATCTATATTCCTCCCATTTCTTCATCTTTCTATCTATATATTCCCCGCTCCTGGACGCACACAGCTACTGCAACACGAGTAAATGATAAGAAGAAAAGGTTATTCGCTCGAGTTAATTTCTCCGCGATAAAATACATTAGCCAGCGAGGATTGAGGATTACATCTAGAGTACATAATAGGAGATGTCCTATTATGTACTATTGATTACATCTTACATCGCAAATTTTCCTATCAGCTGCGGCGCAATATGATCTACTCTTGTGAGACGACAATAATAGAGTTATTTAAACGCGCGCGCTAGCTCTCTCTCTCTCTCTCTCTCTTGCTCTCTCACTCTCTCTCTCTCTATGTTCCAGTATTGCGTGATGGCGCGTGTAACATGTCACAACGTTTCCGCGCACGTAACTAGAACAGTCACGTACACGCCACACAACACACACTAACGCCACGGTGACCTTGCTCTTAGTCGCATGATTGTACGGATCTCGTCAGCGCCATCGTCGTCGTCACCGCCGCCGCCGCCGCCGCCGCCGCGGGGTTTGAAGAACGTCAGAACGATCTGTTTTAGAGACGAGCTTGCCTGCCTGCCGGTCATGAATTCTTCCGTCTTGTGTTTCTGTGTTCTCGTTTTATGCTTTTGTAGGAAAGTTGAGATAATTCTCTGTCGACGCGACTTTGCGTAACGTTTCAGTCTTGCGTGCACTCGTTTATAAGTGTTTGTGTGTGTGTGTGTGTGTGTGTGTGCATGTCATGTGTATGTGTGTATGTATGTGTGTATGTGTGTGCGTGCGCGCTCGCGTGTGTGTCTGCGTGCCTGCTGTGTGCGTGCGTGCGTGCGTGCGTGCGTGCGTGCGTGCGTGCATGCGTGTGCGTGTACGCTCATCGCCTCGGGGCCATGGTAAGTAGCATGTTAAGTAATTCTATTCGTACAGTAGACACGAGCAATCAGTAGTGACATCGGCGTGTTGTGTTGACTCGATGCTGAGATTGCAGCACTAAGAGCTGCGGTGCGGGCGCCTTAACGGCGAATTAAGATGTCAGTAGCAGAGACCATACCAGCGCCCTGCACAATTACACACTGCTGTTTCAACGGCACGTCTATAACTATAGTGAGAGCCTCCGTGGCCCAGTGGTTAGGTCTCGTACACTGTCCGTTGAAGCCTGTGAGTTCAAACCCTGGCCGGGGCAGTGAATTTTCTCCAGGTGTAAAAACCTGGCTCTCAACATTGGGTAATGCTATTACCGCAACGTGGCAGCACTAGGGTAAGGTTTAGGGTTAGGGTTAGGGTTAGGGTTAGAGTTAGGGTTTTTGCATCATGTAATCTGTCCCCACACCATAGATTAATTTTTGTGGATTTTTGGACCTATATATAGCGCTCCGACATACTGTAGAGGGGGCGTTCCTGAAGTATACGTCATCTGTATCACGTGACCCTCCCTCCACGCCCGGGGGATAGCAACACCCCTCAACATTGGAGACTGTGAATCTCCCGTGGCTCGGATGACTACGTAAAATGGCGGTCGTAAATGGGGACGTAAAAGAACCACTGAGGGCGCAAAAAAAACTCTGGCTGTGACCACCCACAGAGCCTTTCGGCTAAAAAAAACTAAACTACCTGGCTTTACCTAAGCTAGGTCACACCCCATGGCTAGCTATACCCCAAGCTATGGCAATCAAGCAACAAGATTTCTCTGCGGCCGTCTCAGGCTCTCAGCTAAGCTGTGCCGTCGATCAACAGGACTTCTTGCCAAGGGACGCTATCCTGCGCCATATAGCGTCGTCATCGTAGGCGTAGCCTCGCAGTTTAATATATAGGGGCCTATATATATATTATTATTCTGTGTAATGCCCGTTTCGGTCTCCTAGGCAATTATTATTATTTATAAC